ATATACACACACACACTTTACATTTATGTATGTAAAGTTTTTTATTTTTTTCCCTCAGACACAGTCTTCCTGGAGCTCTCAGACCTCTTACTCCTGTCTGGACTGGTGGCTGCCCAGGGCTGCTGCCAGGCAGTTGTTACCTCATGCAGGAATTCCCAGGTTCCCTTCCCCTCTGTCCTAGGATAAATCCCCTAGTGGCTGGAGCATATGACTACTTGTTTTTGTTATTGTTTGAGGGTATTTTATTTTTTGGCTTTTTGAACAAGGTCTTGCTATGTAGTTCGGGCTGGCCTTGAACTTACTGTGTACCCCAGGCTGGGCTTGAACTCCTGGCAATCCTCCTGCTTCAGCCTCCCAAGTGTTGGGAGTGTGTACCACCACACTTAGCTTGGGTTTTTTTTTGTTTTGTTTTGTTTTGTTTGAGACAAGGTCTTGCTATGTAGTTCAGGTTGGTCTTGACTCACTATGTACCCTAGGCTGGGCTTCAAACTTGTGGTGATCCTCCTATGTCCTGGGTGCTGGTATCACTGGGGATGCCACTGTGCCCAGCTGCTGCCTTGTTTTTATGGAGCACATTCTTCAGTAGTTTCCTGGAAAGTTTACATGGAATACAAATGTTTGAATTATTTGACATCTGAAAATGTCTATTCTGCCTCAAATCGGTTTTTAAAAAGTGAACACAGAAGACAGCACTTTTTTTGACATACAATTACTATCTAGATATTTTCTTCTGTGTCCTATTGTTATTCAGAATCTGATCAGGATCCTGTTTAGCCTCTGGGAACAGAAAGGAAGAACACCTTCAGAGCTATGTGAGAGAACTACAGCCACCAGGAGGAGCCAGAAGTGGCTAGGAAGTTCTCACAAAGTTTGAACAGGGATCTTACATTTCCAGATTGGAAATTATTTTCTTTCCAAGTGTAGAGATTCTTTTCATATATGTATCTTTGAGTGTTGTTATTGAGTTTTCCAATCCATAATAGTTTTTGTTTGTTTGGTTTTTTGTTTTGTTTTGTTTTGATACCAGGGATTGAACTCGGGACCTTGTTCTTGCAAGGCATGCGGTGGAACCACTGAGCTAAATCCCTGGTCCTGTTTGTTTAGTTTTTTGAGACAGGATCTCACTATGTAGTGCAGGCTGGTCTCAAACAACAATCCTCTGCCTCAGCCTCGTGAGGGCTGAGATTATAGGTGTGCACCACCACACCTGCTTCTGTCTATAATAGTGACTTGTCTTTTTCTTTCTAGAATCTTTTAGGGTCTTTTTATCTTTAAGTATGAAAATTCACGCCAGGGATTTAGCTCAGTAGTTCCACTGCCTGCCTCACAAGCACAAGGTCCCGAGTTCGATCTCTGGTACCAAAAAAAAAGAAAGAAAGAAAATTCACAGTGCTATATCTTGGTGTATGGTCTTTTGCCATTTACTATGCTGAGTACTTTGTGGGAGTGTGGGTCTTTTTATCCTCCTCCAGTATTGAAGATAAAACCTACATCCTTCACACTGAGCCATACCTCAGCCCATTTTATTTGAGATAGGGTCTCACTAAGTTGCCCAGGCTGGGCTCAAACTTGCTGTCTTCTTGCCTCAGCCTCGCCGAGTGCTGGGATTATGGGCATGCACCACCATGCCCAGTTTGTGTGGGTCTTTTTCTACACCTCATGTTCTTTGGTTGAAGGAAATATTTATGTTTTAAACCTTTTAATCTCTTTCCCTCTCTTTTCTCCTCCCAAAACCCCTGTCAGTAGAAATGTTTGTTTGCTTGTCTATTTTTTTTTGTCTTATTTTTCTCACTTATTTTATCTCAATATTTTATCCTATTTTGGGGGGAGATACCCTCTCCTTAACATTGCACTTCTTTTTAATTTTAGATTTCTGTTTAAAATCTTAAGAGCTCAGTCACGTTCTCTGAATATTACTTCACCTCCATTATCCTGTTTTTATTTCATAGGTTTAACATTTTTATTTTTGTGCATATATCATGCTTTTTTTGTTTTGGGGGGGTTTGTTTTGTTTTGTTTGTTTTTTGTTTGTTTGTTTGGTACCAGGGATCGAACTCGGGTCTTTCTGCTTGCAAGGCAGGCGGCAGAACCACTGAGCTAAATCCCTGGCCCTATCATGCTTTTTACTTGCTTTGTACCCCTTAAATTGGCTCTTCTCAATTTCCTTTCTTTTTGTTGTGATGTTTTCATTCATGTAAAAAAGTTTAGCAAATAGCTAATTATCCTTGAGTATCTGTTCATATATAAAAATCAGACATTAGCAGGATGTGGTCCTGCATGCTTCTAATTCCACCTACTTGGGAGGCTGAGGCAGAAGGGTCACAAGTTTGAGGCCAACCGAGGCAATTTAAGAACCTGTCCCAAAATTTAAAATGTGGTTCATTCTTAGACCCTAGGTTCAATCCCCAGAACCACCAAAAACAAAAAGAAGAAGGAGGAGGAGAAAATATCAGGGATTAAGCAACTGATTAGAATCTCTGTCTTTATGAACAGGTAAATAGGATTTTCATTCAGTTTCTCATTTAGGTAGCTTTATAAACTTGTTAGACTCTGAATGCCCATAACTTTTCTTAAGAGCTTGTCAGTGTCTTCAGATTATTCCAGTCTCTTCAGCAGAGAGATAGAAACTATAGTTAAATGGAAATGATAAAAATAAAAATATGAATAATTCAGACCTATCAGGAAATTACACATGCAGAAGAGTGCATTGGTGCAGCTGCGTGTGGTAGCATACCCCTGTAACCCCAGCACTGGGGAGACAGTCAAAAGGACACCACGGGTTCAAGGCCAGCAAAACAAAGCAAAAAGATAAACAAGGAATACATTACTGAATTTGATAATAGGTCAGTAAAATTACTCAAATTGAAAAACAAAGACAATGATAATATTTTTACCATATAATGAATTTTCCTTTAAAGAGGCAAAAAATAAGGTTTTACATTTCCAATGCTCTGTTTCTTTGTAGAGATTTAAATATTCATCTGTTTCATGTTCCTTTGGATTAAAGAACTTTCTTTAATATTTCCTGTAGTGCAGGTCTGCTGGAAATGCATTACCTCAACTTTTATTTATTCGTTATTTTTATATGCTGGGGATTGAATCCAGGGCCTTGTGCATGCTAAGCACACATTCTCACATTCCACTACTGAGCTCTTTTCCATAAATTATCTACCATATATGTACTTTTACATAAATTATCTACCATATATGTATTTTCTACCATATATATACCATATATTGATATATATATATGAAAAGAGAGAGCACAGGTCAGAAATAACACTTTATGCAATTAAGACAGCAAGCAGATTCAGGAAGCTTAGAAAATGCCAGGTAACAGAAATACAAAGAAAGCACATTTAGATACATTATAGGCAAAGTGCTGAAAACCAAACAAGAAAATCTTAAAGGAAGGCAGGGAAAAGATAAGAATGACAACAGACATCTTATCAAAAACTGCAGGGAAAAAAAAACAAACCTGCAGGCCCAAAGATAATAGATATTTTGAGCACTTTAAAGATGTCACTGTTGGGCTGGGGATTTTGCTCATTGGTTCTGCCACCTGCCTTGCAAGTAAGTGCAAGGTCCCAAGTTTGATCCCTGGTACTAAAAAAAAAGAGATGTCACTATCAACCTAGAATTCTCTTAGGAGCAAAAATACTTTTCAGGCTGGGGACATAACTCATTGTTAGAGTGCCTGCTTAACATGCACAAGGCCCTAGGTTTGATCCTTAGCACCTGGTACTATACACACACACACACACATAAATTTTTTAATCAGTGAAAGTTGCGGGGGTGGCTCAGTAGTGGAATGTGGGAATGTGTGCTTAGCATGCACAAGGCCCTGGATTCAATCCCCAGCATATAAAAATAATGAATAAAGTTGAGGTAATGCATTTCCAGCAGACCTGCACTACAGGAAATATTAAAGAAAGTTCTTTAATCCAAAGGAACATGAAACATGAATATTTAAATCTCTACAAAGAAATAGAGCATTGGAAATGTAAAACCTTATTTTTTGCCTCTTTAAAGGAAAATTCACTGTATGGCAAAAATATTATCATTGTATTATAGAGATGAAAAATAATTATAGCCAAGTAAGGTGGTACACATCTGCAACCCAGCACTCAGGAGGCGGAGGCAGGATAATTGCCTACATAATGCCTTAACTACATAGTAAGACCCTGTTTCAAAAAAAAAAAAAAAAAAGTTAAAAGTACCAAATTCAACCAGTGACAGTAAAAAAGTAACAAAGATCATATGAAACAAATTGAAAAGATAATGCATAATAGTAGATTAAGAACCATCTATAGTGATAATTAAATTAAGTAGTTTAAATGCTCTAATTAAGAGGCAAAGAATGTTACATTGCATTTTTTTAATGCAAGAACTCAAAATAACATGTCTTCAAAAGGAATCCACACACAGATCTTTGAAAACTGAGCCCAAAGTAAAAGAATGAAAATGTTCAGTGCCAACCTGAACTACATAGTGAGACCCTGTCTCAGAAAAGATGTATAATTATATCTACATCTGTAGGGTTTATAAGGAAATAGACAGCCTCCCCAGGGCTTGCCATGGAGTAATCAATATTAGCTGGGAGGCCTCAGACACTGACTTGCCTGCTGGAGGCCAGGGAGCTCATCCATTCTCCTAAGCCGCCCTTGTTTCTCAGTGCATCTTCTGGACCTGGGAAAAGCAGAGATGCTCACCCCATTTCACAGATGAGGGGAAGTACCTTGTCCAAGACTACAGTTGAATTCTGAATTCACCCATCTGGTCCGCAACAAGCATGGTAGAAAAGAGGGCTCTGGGTGCCACCGCCTCAGGCAGGCTTGGGGCTGGGAGGGAAGGCAGACATCACTCCCACTTGTTCTTGGTACAGACATGGACTTCCCGTTGCCTGATGAAGTTCTATGCTGTGGTGGCCGCTGCACCAGCCTCCTGGGAGAGCCCCAAGATTGCAGAGAGGATCGAACAGCGCATCCTGAACTCCAACCCTGTCATGGAAGCTTTTGGTGAGCTCAGCATCAAGTCCCATTTCTTCTGGGATCTGTTCCTTCCAAGTGGAGAGGAGATGGGGCTTTGACACCCTCTGTGGGGTTGAGAACAAGTACATCCTTTGCTGCCCTGGACCCCTGACCTCCCAGGTCCCCCTCAGCCTTCTTCTGATAGAAGTGCTGTCATTTAGATATCTCCTTCCCTGCAACCTAGCCACATGGAGCGGTGGTGCTGGAGAGGACCTGGCGGCTCATCTAGTCCAGTTTTTGTGGGGTTTTTGTTTATTTGTTTGTTTGTTGTTTTGTTTTCAGCCTTCTTCTGATAGAAGTGCTGTCATTTAGATATCTCCTTCCCTGCAACCTAGCCACATGGAGCGGTGGTGCTGGAGAGGACCTGGCGGCTCATCTAGTCCAGTTTTTGTGGGGTTTTTGTTTATTTGTTTGTTTGTTTTGTTTTGTTTTTTGAGACAGGGTCTCACTATGTAGTTGAGACTGACCTAGAACTCACTATGTAGTCCAGGCTGGTCTCGAACTCACAGCGATCCTCCTGCCTCAGCCTCCCGAGTACTGGGATTACAGGCGTGCGCCACCATGCCCGCCTAGTCCAGTTTCTTAATGGTTCAAAATAGATTTACCCAAGGCTGGGGATTTTGCTCCGTGGCTCAACCGCCTGCTTTGCAAGAGCAGGGTCCTGAGTTCAATCCCCAGTACCAAAAAAAAAAGATTTGCCCAAGGTTGTTCAGCTCTCAGTGTCCGTGTTGCAACTAGAGCCCAGACGTTGAATCTTTCTGTCTAAAGCTAATAATGATAACTTGTTCTGTTTGACCTCTCCCTTCAAAGAAGAAAGTCCTGGACTTCCTAGGCTTGCTTATTCCAGATCCTTGCCAGAAAATTCTTGTTTTGTTTTGTCTTTTTGGTACCGGGGATTGAACTCGAGACTTTTCGCTTGTGAGGCAGGCAGTGGTACCACTGAGCTAAATCCCCAGCCCTAGAAAATCCTTCTAACTTTCTTGAATCCCACTTGCAGAAGCCTCAGTGCCCATTCCCTAGTCTTGTCCCTCATTGCGTGGAACCCATCCAAGGGACCATTAGATGCCTTGAGGGTGGGGTCATGGCTCCCAGCAGACCTGCAGCCACGTTGGCCATGAGAACTCTAAACTTCGCAGAGTGGTGTAAACATAGGTATGATCTGTAGGGAATGCGTGTACACTGAGGAATAACAACAGCAGTCGCTTTGGGAAGTTCATCGAGCTGCAGCTGAACAGGTAATAGCTGCTGCCCCTCCGGCCTGTGGGAGGTTGGGGGCAGGGGCAGGGTTTAAAAGCAGCTGGGGGAGCTGCTAGCCATACCCACCCCTAGGGGCAAAACTCTGCGCCTGGCATGTATGTGTATGGGATTAGTGAATTGAGAGTTGTCTTTGAACTTGGAGAACCGTAGCTACTCTGATCTTAGAGACGCCTGGGTAGTATTCTTGTCACAGCATATGTGTGGCCTCCTGGCTTTTACCCATGCTCAGCAACTTCTAGTTAAATTGCCACTTCTTTGGGCCATAACCCTGATCTTGAAGCTGAGCCTCTGCTCCGGCTATGAAATGAGGTACAAATGATATGCAAAGACCTGAGCTAGGTTCAGGGACTGTCCCGGTACAGTGCAGGACATTCTGAGGTTGGTGGGGAGTTGCTGGGCAGCAGTCTGGCCCAAAGTCAGGGCTGAGTAAATGGCTACAGAACGAACAGGCAACTTATGGACTCCTGCCTGTGTACACCAGGGCCCAGCAGATGACAGGAGCTGCAGTTCAGACCTACCTCCTGGAGAAAACCCGCGTGGCCCACCAGGCCTCCAGTGAGAGGAACTTCCACATCTTCTACCAGGTCTGTGCCGGGCAGGACCCAGGTGCCTCCCTGCCTGCCCCGGGCTCTCTACGGGGACCTCTCATCTCGTGGTCTGCTACCACTTCTCCCTTCTCTGGTGCCAACCCTGGGAGGATGGAGGCCGGGCTTCCCTTGTACCTCCAGCTCAGCCACCTGCCTACCTCCCCACAGATCTGTAAAGGAGCCAGCGAGGATGAGAGGCTCCAGTGGTGCCTCCCCAAGGGAGCTGCCTTCTCCTGGCTGCCGAACCCTGAGATGACTTTGGAAGGTAGGAGGCCTCCCTCGGCACCCTGGACTGGCCCAGCAGCATGCACACACGCTGCCTGAGGCCTGCCTCCCTCACGCCTGCTAACCACTGGACTGCGCATGGGTTCTTTTTCAGAGGATTGTTTTGAGGTGACCCGAGAGGCCATGCTGCATTTGGGCATCGACATCCTCACCCAGAACAACATCTTTAAGGTCAGAAGAAAAGCCACACCGCTTAGATTTGGCACTTACTGGGCAGCCCTGTTCATGGGGTCCTTCTCTGTGCCTCTGTGCTGCAGAGGTGGAGTGTTGGGCTAGATAGGGGCCTCAAGTGCTGCAGTACAGAGAACCTGGCACAGTGACCTATGGGCCAGAGCGAGGGTTTGGTCAGTTATCACCGCAACAGTGAGAAGAGAAATAACCTTACCATATCTGCCTAGCTCAAATTAAAAATCATGTTCACACTTTTTAGTGCTCTTGGTTTTTTCAGCATTTCCTTGGGAGTGGAGGTGATTTCTGTTTTATGCTTGAGTAAACAACAGCGGTAAAGTAAACTGTCCAAGGTCAATACTACTGAGTGACAGAGTGAATTGTTCTAGACTTAGTAATTCCTGTCGAGATTTAGTAATTCAAGTTCCCTCCCTTTGTCCCTGCTCCACCTGCGGCCCCTGCCTCTCCTCAGACCTGACACTGACCCAGGTGAGCTGGGCCCCTCTCATCCCTACCAGTGTCCTCCCTCTCCCTTCTGCCTTTGCCGACAGAGTTGAATACCTCTCCCCCATCATGTTGACACCCCAGAACAGCAGGAGAGAGTAGACAGGGTAGGCGGGCAGCAGGGACAGGGAAGCCACTGCAGGGAGATGGCCATGCAGTGGAAATTGACTCCCCCAGCTGGAAGCTGCTCAGACAAGAAGGGTGTTGTGCCCAGCGTAGACACTGTAGCTAAGAGCTTGGCTGGAAGGACAGTGCATGGGGACAAGTGCAGGGTAAGTGGACAACACTAGGAGTTCAGGCAAGAATGCTGCCCTACACAGCCACACTGCCCCTGTCCTGGGGTGAGTGGTGGCCAGGAGGCCAGTAGATACGGTGGTGCCCTGCCTGGGCCCAGACAAGAATGGCCACAGTACCCTGCTCTCCTAGTATCAAGTCCAAGGGCCTTCACATTTACTAGAACAGGAGGGAATTCTCCTTTCTGTAGCTCCTGGGGGTTGTCCGTGCAGATTGCTGAGTACAGAGGCCAAAAGATGATACCCATGGCACACAGACCAAGATCACAGTTCCTCCCCCAGGCTAGGCTGTCCTAAGCTACCAAGCTGAGAAAGGAGCAAGAGCCCAGTAGACACAGAAGTAACCCTGGCCCACACCTAACAGGACTGGTGTCTTCACGGTCTATACCTAGCGAGAAAGGACAGAGGGACAAATGGTGGGTGGGCATGTGGGCCTCATGGCTGCCTTGAGTGGCATCTGAAGTCAGACTGCCTGGATTCTAATCTGCCTTTCTCAGAAAGCATGTGTCCTTAGACTTTGGATCAAACCTCCCCAGTCCCATCTCTCTCACGGCGTTGTCATAGCACATGCTAAGTAAGGGGGTGCAGTAACACATAGAATCATGCCTGCCTGAGCTGGGCAATAATCAGAGGGCGATTGTTCTGATTTTATCATGACTGCTCAGCGGGAGGACTCAGCAGGTCCTCCCTGCTTCTGAACATCCTCTCTGCCCCTTCAGGTCCTTGCTGGGCTGCTGCACCTTGGCAACGTCCACTTTGCCGACTCAGAGGATGAAGCCCAGCCCTGCCAACTGATGCACGATGCCAAGTGTGAGAGGCGAGGGGCAGGGAGCAGGCCCAACCCTGGCAGGAAAGTGGCCAGCATTGGTGGGGTTAGGTGGGAGTTCGGAGGGTGAGATTTTCCATTTGCTGCTCTTGACAAAAGTCTGCTATAGGGCCCTGCCCTGGATAATTTACTCCTTACCTCCTCTCTTGCAGATGAGAAAATGAGAGACAGAGTTAGTAAAGTGATTTGTCCCACATGTAGCAGTGTGCGTTGGGACACAGAAGTCACAAGTTTGAGTCCCACCTCTGCCACTTAGAGGCTTTTGGGAAGATTTTTTGCCCTCCTTTGGAAACTAGGTTTCCTCTCTCCACTTGGGCGAGTTGGATACCACTGTGAGGACAGTTCAGGTGGAGGGTGACTTGCCTAAGGAGGATTCACCCCTCTGTCAGGCTCTGTCAGGACATCAGCCTCACTGCTGAGATTGCATGAGGACATGATGCTGGAGACGGTACGGATTCGAACCATCAGGGCAGGCAGGCAGCAGCAGATGTTCCGGAAGCCCTGCTCCCAAGCAGAGTGTGACACCCGCAGGGACTGTCTGGCCAAAGTGGTCTATGCGCGGTAAGCAGTTACACTGGGCCCTGCCCTCCCCCAGATTCTCACCTTGTCTGGGGTTGCAAGGACCCCACCAGGCAGTAAATGCAGGGCCAGGGTGGGTAATGTGAGACAAAGCAGGCTGGCTCCTTGGATCCCCGGGGACAGCAGGGCACGACTGCCACATATCTTTTTCCTGAACTACACCCTTGGCATCTGTTGCTGAGGACTGAATAGAGAAGTTGCCACATTCCTGGCCTACGTTCAGCTCATTACTCAAGTACAGGAGTCTGCTTTGATGTCGTCAATAAACAGGGAAAACCTGCTCAGCTCTCCACTGGCAAAGCAGGCCGCAAAGGTGATCTGGTGCTGTTACAGCACCGGGATCAGGCTGTTGGGTGAACAGGCTCCTTTGTCTCCCCATGCCCGGGTACTCAAGACCTCAGTTACTCACTGGGGAGTTTGATGAGTGGTGCAGAGCCAGAGACTCGGCCCAGGTTGTGGTAGCACAGTGGGGAAGGTGGGCTCCTGGCGTTTCCTGGTGGGTTACGTAACCACTCTGGCCATGTGGTCAAGGGTGGTCTCACCTCAGGCTCTGAGAACACTTAGGGTACTTTGTCAGGGCTTCCAGAGGCCCGGAATAGCCCAAGATAGTGATGGTGAACCTTTCAGAACTTAGATGATACAAATAGCCCGCTATGCCTCATGTGCTATAGGTTTGCCACCATTGCTCTAAGATTATCGTGTATGTGTGTGTACATGTGGAACCTAGGGCAGCTTTCTCAGGAAAGGGTCCTCCTCCCTGCTTTCATGAGCCAAGAGCCTGTGAAGCCTTGCTAAATGAAAACATTTTGAGTTGAAGATAGTCAGGAGCAGCTCAGCCCACAGTGAATCCATTTCATCAAGAAACACAGGGACCATGCCTCATGGCAATGTTGGTTTTTACCTTTGCCTACAAGTTATGGCAAATGGATAGCCAAAGTGTGGTGGTCAGAGTGAGCTTCTGACTACTGCATTTTACACATGGAAACCATTAGTCATTGTAACACTAGGTCACTCATTTTTGTGCCTCAAATGGGTATTTGAATCCCCTGTACCAGAAACACAAGCTGTTGACCAGGTGTGGATGTACACACCTATAATCTCAGCACTCTGGGAGGCTGAGGCAGGAGGATGGCAAATTCCACCCACCCCAGACAATTTAGTAAGATCCTGTCTCAAAAGAATTTAAGAGCTCAGTGCAGAGGCTCAGGGTTCAGTCCCCAGTATTGCAGGGCAGTGGGGAGAAGTTGTTTACCAAATTGGATAACGTTGCAATTGCTAAAAACAAAGACACCCGGATGGTAAGTGTTATATGTCTCACCACCTTGGACAGTAACTTATCTTCTCTGGATTGGGGATTCTTCAGGAGTGGAGGATGCCATTGTTGGTCTTAGATGGCCCATTTGTGAGGTCTCGGCCTTGATCTTCAGGCTCTACAGGCAGATTTGCAGGAAAACTCACTGAACCTCAGTTCTTTATGAACCCCACCAAGGCCCACCTAACAGCTTCTCCTGGTCACCACACCAGCTGCTGTTGGCCCATGTGACAGTGCAAACCCATACCCTGCCTGGTCCAGGAGCACGGTCAGGCCTGAGCTCAGTCTTGCTTGGAGGACAGGCCAGGTATGTGTACCTAGGAACATACATGCCCAGAACCTGTACCTACCATAGGTCCACACAGGATGGAAGGAGCAAGAGAGGGTTTAAACTATGGCCTGTGAGGTCAAGAATACGGGGCTCTCCAGCATGTGTGGCTGAGGAAATTTGCGGGCTCAGGCCCAGCCTGACCCTCTTACCAGACTCTTTTTCCCTCAGACTCTTTGACTGGCTGGTGTCGGTGATCAACAGCAGCATCTCTGCAGACTGTGACTCGTGGACTGCTTTCATAGGTAGCAGGGGCTCACCCTGCCCGGAACCCTCCAGAGAACTGTAGCAGCCTGGACGGGAGCCAGGAGCCCTGGGTTCCCTAAGCAACTCCTTTCCCTTCTCTGCATCCCGCCACCTGCCCTCAGTGTCTGGTCGAGCTCTGTGTTCTCTGGTGCCCATCTCTAAGCCATCTGAGGCTCCCCACACAGACTCAGGTGGTGCCTTGTCTATAAAGCCTTCTTCTCCCAAGACACAGAACCATCCTAGGAAAACTGGTGGGGGGGTGAGAGAGCTAGATGGGAGACAAGATCGAGGTCAGCCTCATTCTAACCCTGGGTGAGGTGGTCAGGTAGGGGAGGAGAGACGCCTGTGCAGTCTGCTCATGGAATGGTAGAAATCTAGGCTGGCGAGACCTAGGCTCTCACAGGAAGTGTTCCCCAGGACTTGGTTTTCTCAGGAGGGACCTGTTGGGATCAGAGAATCCAGACTCAAAAATAGGCCTGATGCCCTGGGCTGCACCTTGCATCTCGCTTGGCTCTTCTGCTTGCTCTGAGGGATTATGGGGTAGGTGGGGAGCGGAGGACAGTGGTGTGCTCAGCTCACCACTAGGGGTCCTGCTCACTCAACCTGATCCCTGGGCTCTTGGAGTGCCCCTGTCCTCAGCTGCTCCCCCTGGTGACCTAACAGATTCCCTGTCGTCCTCCCAGGGCTTCTGGATGTGTATGGGTTTGAGTCATTTCTTGACAACAGTCTGGAACAGTTGTGCATCAACTATGCCAATGAGAAGCTGCAGCAGCACTTTGTGGCTCACTACCTACGAGCTCAGCAGGTGAGGGAAGGACAGGGTGGTTCTCCTGGATCCTCCACTTCCTGGCTCACCAGCCCCAGCCCAGTTCTAACTAGGAGCCTTTGTCCCTCCTTACCTTATTTTGGCCAGTAATAATTGTATATTTGAAGTAAATGTGTATGTGTGTGGTGCTGGGGGTTGAACCCAGGGCCTCGGGCATACCAGACAAGCATTATGTCACTGAGCTGTATGCCTGGCTCAGTGTGATACTTTGAGAAATTCTTGTTTCTTCTCTGATGCTGTTCTGGAACACGCTGTGGTAATGAGGCCAGCCCCGGTGGCGCAGCCAGCCTCAGACTACAGCTTCTTTCTTCCCCATCTCCCTGACGCCTGCCCCTAGGAGGAATACACACTTGAGGGCCTGGAGTGGTCGTTTGTCAATTACCAGGACAACCAGAGCTGTTTGGATCTCATCGAGGGGAATCCCATCAGCATCTGCTCCCTCCTCAATGAGGTGGGGAGGGTCAGCTAGTGAAATGAGCACCAGGGTCGGGCTTTAGGCTTTTCCCGGGCCTTGATAACTTCTCTGTGCTCTCCGTATCCCTCTCTCCGTCTGCTGAATGGGTTTGCTGATCCCTACTTACTCCCTCTTTGGGGCATTTACAATACCATGGGGCCAGAAGGTGGGCCGGTGGGGGTGGTGGTAGTGAGATGAGACCTCAGTTCTGCAGCTGACTGCCACTGCCATCCCACAGGAATGCCGTCTTAACCGGCCAAGCAGCGCGGCCCAGCTCCAGACTCGCATCGAGAGTGCCCTGGCTGCCAGCCCCTGCCTGGGCCACAACAAGCTTAGCCGGGAGCCCAGCTTCATTGTGGTGCATTATGCAGGGCCTGTGCGGTACCTCACAGCAGGCCTAGTGGAGAAGAACAAGGTAAGGCCTGGCCACGGCCTCTGGGGGCCGAGTCATTGCAGTGTGCACATATAGTTTCCCAGTGGGGTCTTCTTTCTCCCAAATGTCTTCCCAGAATCCCAGATCACCATCTTGGGCTCATACTTGAGGTCTCTGCTCATTGACCTTGACTCTCACCTGGACGTGACTGGTGCTAGGCTGGGTCTAGCTTGTTGATTGGCCAGTGGATCTGCTGCTGTCTCAGACTCACACCCCACCTTGCCCAGGGAGCCGTGTCTTCTGGGGCTTAGCCGGGCAAGGGTGTGCCCAGCCCATGAACAGCTCTGGGGAGCAGTCCACCTGCCCTACCCTGCCTCCCTTGCTGTTTCCAACAGGACCCTGTTCCCCCTGAACTGACTGAGCTCCTACAGCAATCCCAGGACCCCCTTCTCACAGTGCTGTTTCCTGCTCAACCCAAAGAGAAGACCCAGGAGGAGCCCTCTGGCCAGAGCAGGGCCCCTGCATTGACTGTGGTGTCCAAGTTCAAGGTGGGTCTGGTGGTGCTAAGTGAGGTGCTCAGTTCAGTCATTGGTCTCCAGTAGGTGTCCCCAGGGCAGATGAAGATCACAGTCTCTGTTTACCTCGCAGCTTTGGACTCAGGTAGATGTAGTTCCCATCTCCATGGAGTTCATAATTCAGTGTTGAAGAGAAGGAAACAAACAGACCAGCAGCTGTACTGACATGGCAGGAAGCCTAGGGGCCGCCCCCCTTCTGTTCTGTGAACCTTTCTTATCAGGCCCTGCTCAAATCCTGTCCTCTCTGGAGCACACCTGCCACTTGTGTCAGGAGTGCCTCTGCTGTCCCAGCCTTCCTGGGGTCTGACAGCTGTCCTTCTACTCCCCTCACTCCCACCCTCCACAGCACTTGCCTTAGTCTGTTCCTTCTCAGCCTTCAAACCTCTGCCTCGACATCACCTTGAGGCACCCCGCAAAGCCCAGGATGAGAGCACTTTCCTGCCCCAGCCTCACACACACAGTGGGATGCCTGTCCAGTGTGTGTGGTCCGTCAGGCATGGCCTCCAGCACACAGGGTGGGCTTAGTGATGGCAGCCTGCCCTCTGCCTGGGTGGCAGCAGTTACGAGACTTGTAGTTAGACCGCTCTGGGGAGGAGGGCAAGATGATGCACAGGGAGACCATTCGGAGAGCGAGTGGTCCAGGAGAGTAAGTGCTCAGTGAGGGCTTCAGTAGTCCCCAGGGCAGATGAAGGTCATGGTCTCGGGGCTGGAGGCACTGCTGGAGGGGTGTGATGCACTCACTAACCAGGGCCTGAAGATGGCCCCAAGCAGCTCCAGGCCGTGCCTAAGCCCAGGTCTCTCCCATCTGCAGGCCTCCCTGGAACAGCTCCTGCTAGTCCTGCACAGCACTACACCCCACTACATTCGCTGCATCAAGCCTAACAGCCAGGGCCAGCCACGGACCTTCCTCCAGGAGGAGGTAATCACCACTGGGCCATCTGACCAAGGCCCTGGGAGGACGAAGGGCAGGATGCCTCCCCTAAATGGAGAGGTCTCTTCTAATAGGTCTCCCCTGCTCTGGCAGGGCAGTCAGGTGTAGTTGTCGGGTGTGTGCATCACACAGTGCCCCAGCCAAGGAGGTAAGTAGGGGCTCTAGTGCATCCTGCTTTGTACTTACAGAGCTATGTGGCCAGGCGTCGTGGCGCACGCCTATAATCCCAGCACTGGGGAGGCTGAGGCCGGAGGATTGCTGCAAGTTTAAGGCCAGCCTGGGTTACATAATGAGTCCCCCTCTTAAAGAAAATTGGAACAAAGCCACATGGCCTGATGAGTGCTAAAGCTGCCCAGAAGAATGGGGGTCTTAGGATTAATGGACAGTTTGTCACCTCACAGTCCATGCACAGTGTGGTCATTTCTGACTGGAGGCGTCACTTTTTCTAATTCGTACACGGCACTCTGGCCAGCAGCTGCCTTTTCCTGTGGACCCCAAATTCTAAGCAATGTGGAGTACTATACAGTGCTGAAGAGTGTCCACAGCCACATGGGGGTGTGTGGCCCAGGGCTCTGGGGCCAAGACCACTTGTAAAGACCTATACTCAGACCGTGAAGAATCTTCACAATATGATCTCTGTCCCTGAGCTGTAAGCCACTCTACTGCCTGCAAAAAGTAAACAATCAGAAATTTATGTGGGCTACGTTGTGGGTTCATGAGCCTGCAGCGCTTGGCTGTATCAGAAGTCAGGCAATAGGCAGGGGCTCGAGACCACAGGGACCCACTTTTTAGGAAGGAGGTTTTTTTTTTTCAAAGTCCCTTGATTTCTTGCTGTTCCAAGGAGATTCCCCATCAGCCAAGACTCAGGAGAGCCTGTAGCTCCACGCAGGGCTGGCCTGGGAAGGGCAGAAAAGAATGGCATTTCAGCCTACAGGTGCTCCCATCTCCCACACTTGCAGGTCTTGAGCCAGCTGGAGGCCTGTGGCCTCGTGGAGACCATCCACATCAGTGCTGCTGGCTTTCCTATCCGGTGAGTGAGCACATGCTGCAGGGCAGGGCCAGGGCCAGGGCCAGGGTGGAGCTCAAGACTCAGGCCAGACAAGGGCCTGCCCAAGCCAGACTGGTCCTGGCATAAAGATGCAGAGAGAGGCAGGTGTGTGGGAGTTAAGCTCTAGTGCTCAAAGAGTACCACCTATTTTTTTCTCATTCACTATGTGCTGTTGTACCCAGCAGGGTCTAGTAACATGTTAGTAAATAAGTGAAGGTGAGTTTCTGCCCTCTTGGGGCACACATTCCTCTGGAATCAAGAAAAACAACTGCACACCTGTGATGCCAGCACTCTGGAAAGCTAAGGATTCTATGTATGATTTAGTGAGACCCTGTCTCAAAATAATGGCTGTCAGTGTAACTCAATGCAAAGGCCCTGGGGTCAGTCTACAGTACCTTCCACAAACACAAGAAAGAAAAATAAATATAACTGGAGCCAGGGAAGAAAAATGCTGTGGGATAATTATCAGGGGCAGCGATCCTTGGCTGGTCAGGAAAGGCCCCCTCCAAAAAGCTCAGGGTTAAGGGACAGCAAGGGCCAGCCTGTGAAGATCTGGGGAATGGGAAGGTAGTCCAGACCAAGGGAAGCACCGCCACAAGGCTGCCACCTTAGGAACTCAGAGATGCTAATGAGCCTGGACCACACACCACCAGCAGTGGGCAAGGGAGGTGGGCAGGAGCCAGAATGCAGGGCCTCACAGGGCATGGGAGGACTTGGCGGTTAGTCCTGAGTGCAGTGGTAGCCGCTGGGCCATAGGAGGAGGGTGTGGTGTGAGCTCATGCATGTGCTCAGAAGATCCCTGCGCTGCTGTGGGATGTTGGCCACAAGGTCAGGAGAGAAGCGAGGCGGTGAGCAAGGAGGCTTTCGCAGTTATACGGGTGAGCGGTGGGGAAAGGAGTGAGGTTCCAGTGGGGTGGAAAGCAGGCATTGGGAAGGGAGCAGTCAGCTCCCACGGCAGCTTCCAGTCTAAAGCAAGTGAGTGAAATGGAGAACAGTTTACCAAAGTGGTCTGGGCAAGGCGCAGGTTGGAGGGTGGGAGAGCAAGGGAGGAAGAGATCAGCATTAGACTGGCAGGCTGTTGGCTGTGACAGGAACCATGATAGCGCAGTAGGGCTGAGGAGCGGCTAGGAGGAGGAAGAGATACCAGGCGGCGTCGGCTGTTTAGAACAGTGCTGCTGTGAAGGAGCAGAGAGCAGGAGGAAGCAGAGGAAGGTGTTAGAAGTCAGCGTGTTTGGTGATGAGCGGTCTAGTCAGGGGAGAGGTTGTGGGTCCCATTAAGTGAGTTGGACCCTGTTCGGTAGACACAGGCAGTGAGGAAGGGCAGACTCGATTTAAAATGGCCTCCATGGGCTTTCCCCTGAGTGACCCTGGTAATTGCTCTGGAACTCATCCCATCCAATGAGGCCAGCCAGGGTTCCTCAGCAGATTAAATAGAAAAACTTTTAAGCCCTAGACAATGAAGTCATTCTCTTCCACCTGCTTCGGCTTCCAGGGTCTCTCATCAGAGCTTCGTGGAGCGATATTCTTTACTGAGAAGGCTCCGTCCCCACACACCTTCTGGACTCCACAGCCCATGTCCTGCCAGAGGGCGTGCCGGTGAGTGGGCCCGTCTGCTAGTCATTTGTTCAGCCATGGGTTCCCGCTGCTGCTTCTGTCATGCTCAGGACTGGGGGTTCAGAGATGATACAGCACAGCCCTGCCCTCAAGGTTCTTGGCTTCATTGGGGAACACACTCAAAAAGATAGTGTTGTGTGTGGGAAGGCAGAGCTGTGAACAGGACACTGGGTTGAGCTGGGAGGCTGCACGTGTGGGTAAATTGCAGTAGCCAGGTGAAAGGTCTCCATGTGACAGGTAATGAACAGAGGCCCGGAGGCACAGCGGCCGCGTAGGGGTGAGCAGCACCCAGCAGGACTGCGATGGCGGGTGGGACCTGGTCAAGGAACCTGGGTAGGTGAGGTGGCACTGCAGAGGAGGAAACCGGTGACTCCATCAGCCGCGTGCTTTCTGGAAACCACCCTTGGGGGGCTCTTCTGGAAGGCCTTGGAAATGAGGCTGCAGAGCTGAACAAGTGGAAAGAAGCCACCAGAGGCAGGCAGTTTGGAAATGTGTGGAAGAAATCAGCCACTGGGGAAAAGTAAGAGGAAGAAAGACCTGGGGAAGCTGAAGCGTCTGTCCCATGGGACCTGAGTGGCAGCCGATGCAATGTCTGCAAGGCCTTCGGGCAGCTTTAACCTCGGGGAATGGCTCAGGGGGGCTGGCATGCGGACATTCGTAACTGAGTGTGGGAGCCCTGAGGCCCAGGGGCAGGTGGAGGGGAAGAGGCCGCGGACAGTTTGTAAGGCCCCAGCCAGCCAGATTGCCTGGGCCCACCAGAACCTCTGAGACAGTTCTGCTGTTTCCCTCCCTTCTCAGGTGGTGTGTCACTTTCCTTTCACTCTCTCCTTTCTCCTCTCCATGGTTTGCTCTCCTCTTCTTGTCTCTTGCCAAGTCTCTCTGGGCCCCGGTCGGTTTTGCAGCTGTCTGATCTCCGGCATCCGCTTTGGCTGCCTCTGTTTCCAGAGAGGCACTGGGGAGCTACGGGTGGTCAGAGTCCTCAGGTAAATCCTACACAGAAGTCAGCCCTGTAGCACCTGGGAGGGAAGGAGGGGGCTCACTGGGCCTTCGTGGGACTGGGCTTTTTTTCTCCCTTTTCTCATAAACGTCAGAGTGAGGAGTAAGTGCGGCCAGGCAGCCTGGGATTCCAGGTTGGAAGAATTGCTCTTCCAGCCATTGTCCCCTTCGCCAGCCTGTCCAAAGGGACCTATGGCAGTGAAGGCTGCGGGACACTCCCGGGCGGGGACTCCAAGAGTCCTCAGAACAGCTAGGGCTGTAAGGAACAGTGGGGTAGCTTCTGGCCTCTCCCAGAAGGAGGAGAGGAAGAAATGGCTAGAGGCAAAAACAGTAGGAAAGAGGCTTGGAGAGTGCCAAGGAGACCAAAGTCAGTCTCTCAGGCCACGCAGGTGTGTGATGACCAAACACTGATGGGGCCTCTGTCTCCCATTCCCCAGGACAGCTTCCGTGCCCCGAGGAGGCCACACTGCAAACTGTCCTGCAGGACCTCCTCCATGCTCTGCCGCCTCTAACTCGGAGGGCAGCCACACCTGCTGACCCACTGCACTGCGGCAAGACCAAGGTGTTCATGACTGAGTCCATGGTACGCTGGTTTGGGGATGAGATTACAGGAGCCAGCCGCAGGCTCTTATCAGGGCAGGGGGAGCAGCAGTGGGGAGACCTCAGTGGGTGCCCCTTCTCCCAGCTAGAGCTTCTGGAAAGCAGGCGTGCCCGGGTGCTGGAGCAGTGTGCCCGCTGCATCCAGTGTGGCTGGAGGCGACACCAGCACCGAAAGCAGGAGAGGCAGAGGCGGGCAGCCATCCTCCTTCAGGCAGGTAGGTGGGGTGCGGCCGCTTGTCCTGAAACGGGCACAGGACACAACCTGATTTTGGCTTCCTTTGAAACTCGGCTTGTTGAATGGCCACCTACTGAAGATGCGTCCCAGCCTCGGGTGGATGGCATGTCCCACAGTGCCCAGTCTCCAAAGCGGAAACCAAATCACCGCACAGTTCTGTAGGCAGGAGAGGCTACAAGTGCAACCTCACTTCCCCTTTTCAGACCTACATAGCTGTTTGTCCCAGTGTGTAGCCCTCGTAGCCCAAACACACAGGCTTTCTTTTCTTGAGACAGGGTCTTACTATGTAGTTCAGGCTGCCCTGGACTATGTATCCCAGGCTGGCCTTGAATGTCTCAGCCTCCTAAATACTGGAACTACAGACATGTATCACCACACTAGGCTGGGATTTTCTAAATAGAAAAGTAATTTTTTTTCTTTTGTGGAAGTTGAGATAGAACCCAGTGATTTATGCATACTAGGCAGGCTTTCTTACCACTAAGCTACAGCCCTAGTCCAAGACCAGTACTTTTTAGAAGTACAGACAATCCAGACCCCTCCCATTCCGGCATTGCCAGGACTAAGGCTGGGATGGGAGGTGACCCTGTTGGGTCCTCACCAGGAGCCCGGGCATCCCTTCACTGGGTACCACCCAGTGTGTGGGCAATGGGAGGAGTGTTTTCTTAAAGCCCATTTTGCCTTGCGAGTTTAGAACCTTACTTTACACAGTAACATGCAGTAGCTGTTTCTGTGGAAAAAACATATATTTCACAGCAATTTGTGTTGACAGCCAGGGTGCCAACAGCTTTAATGACCATCTTCTCTCTGCTACTTCTGACCACAACTCTTAGCCATTCGTTCCTGGTTAACTCGGAAACACATCCAGAGGCTGCACATGGCTGCCACCATCATCAAGCGCACCTGGCAGAAGTGGAGAGTGAGTCTCTAGCGGTGGGTGGGCAGTGCGTGGAGATCTGGCACCAGACAGACCCGTGCGGGAAGGGCAGGCATGAGGCACCTCCCTGTAGGGTGCTTTGAAGAGAAAAGAGGTGAAAGCAACTCTGGGAACATACTAAGCCAAGGCAGTCAGTTTACCTCTCCTGTATCAGTTCTCCAGAAAAGCTATTATTTTCTTTCCTAGTGCGCTCTTCTTGCCTTATGTTGTGCCACATGGGGCCACTCTAGTTCAAGGCAGCCAGCTATTCACAGCTGGTGCCTTTAATTCATCATGTCAGGGTTTATTAAAAAGTTTTGTTTTATATTTTCCATTAAGGAGCTAGACAGTGTAAAGCTATAAAGGGCTATTTTTCTTCTTCAGTTCAGAATGGCCTGCCTTGCCTCTGAAGAACTGGATGGTATGGAAGAAAAACCCATGTCTCCAATTCCCAGTTCCCTGAGCTCCTCCCCGCTGTCCCCAGCGCAGGCCAGGCTCCGAGGGGCAATAATCCGTCTCTGGCCCCTGGGACTGGTCCTGGCCAATGCAGCCATGGGTATGCACGGCTTTCAAAGGAAGCTGGTGGTCTTCGCCTGCCTCCAGCTTCCCTTGGGAAAGTCCAGCAACTACAGTGTCCAGACAGCACAAGACCAGACTGGTGTCATGTCCATTCGAGCACTGCCTCAGGTAGGCTGTGGTGAGACAGCGGTCCTGCTTGTGATGGCTCCAGGTTGGGAGGGCAGGCAGCAAAGCCTCGGGGTCCACAGCGAGCAAACCAAGGCTGGGACATAACCTTCCCTAACTCTACTGGGTAAACCAGACCCCTGGACACCCAAGCCAGCTGCAGGTTTGGATTATTCCCACTGTTAAAGCTGAGAACTGGGACTTCCAAAGCCCTTCACTTGTGAAAAACTATTTTAGTTCTGAGTCTTTTAATTAGTCTTACTCGAAAAAACAGGTATGACAACTTTGTCACCTCAGGTGACGCTGAATTTGATAGCATGTTTTCCTCAAATTTTACACTTCGTGTGTGTGGTAATAAGGATCTAACCCAGCGCCTTGCACATGCTGGGCAACCACTACAGCCCCAGTCCTCCCCACATTACTTGGTTTATCTCCTCCAGCTGAGGACATGAGAAGCCATGATTCAATTCCTCAGACAGTGTAGATTCACCCCACCAAGCCCAGCCTCATAAAAATCAGCTGAGGGAAGGGAATCGGTGTGTTACGGTTAAAGGCAGAACCTCAGGGTCTGGGTCCTGGCCCCCATCTGATCTCCATTTCTTTATCTGTACAGTAGGCTAATGTTCAGCCTGTTACACAGGCCACAGCAAGGAGCAAATGAAACTGACAAGTCAGGGGAGAGGAAATGGAATTTCCACACAGAAGGAATTATGTAATCTGGATTACATGTCCCATAACAACACAGGCCAGCATGAGTGTAAACAGAAACAGAATTATTCTGATCCAACTGTAAGCAGTTGTTAACTCCATGCTGTGGACACCAGGCCAGTACTCGTCCACCCCACCTCATATTTCTAGCATTCTTACTCTGAGGTACCTTTAGGGCCCAGCACTCCAGGGAGCTAAGGCCAAGCTTCATTTCTTTTTCTCCCTAGGGCTCCATAAAGTTTCACTGCAGAAAGTCTCCACTACGCTATGCCGACATCTGCCCTGAACCTTCACCCTACAGTGTTACTGGCTTTAATCAGATTCTGCTGGAAAGACATAGGCCAGTCGACGTTTGACCTCACCCCTACTCAACTGGCTGGTGATCCTTGGTGTCTTCTGTTTCTACAAGGCTTTTTCCTGCCAGCTGCAGCTGCCTTGCCAAAGACACTGAATCAACAACAACTGCCAAACTGTTCCCACAGCAGCTCCAAGCTCATGCAGGAACAGCCCGACCAGCCTGCGACCCAGGGTTACCGCCCAAGCTCCGGAGAGATCAGGACTGGTGGTTACCAAGCCAGGACTGGGGCCACAGAGAACTTCCAATTTCACCACCTTCAAAGATCAAAACCCAGCAGCAGATGCAACTATTCTAGAGTGTATCTGTCACTACAGGGGGCGCCCCATCACCCACAAGCACTTTAGAAGAAAATGGGCATAGTTGACCGAAAATTAGCTCTAGAATTTCAACTGGACAAAAATTTGCATTTCGTTCCTAAAACAGAAAACTTTAATAAGTTGTTGATTTATTTAATGTAACTTCAAAACAATGACATTAGGAACTAAAACAGTGAACAGTGCAATGTACAACTGAACTACCGTATCTTGATTTTATTAACATTGATTCAGTTTTTAACTCATGGGTATAAAATTTGATATTTATGATGTCTACCCAAACTGTACCAAAGATAAAATATTTTAGAACAACCATGTGTAGCTATCATGGCTTTCTTCACACTAACCCATTCTACTTTCTCCAGGGTGATCTTTTATCTTGCTTTTTTCCTTTTACTTGACCCAGGCTTGCTCTGCAGTTTCTTGCTCACTCTTCACTTTTAATTTTCCAAATAAACTTTGCCGCTGCTAAAAAATAAATAAAAACAACCCTGTGCGTGCCAGGTCTCCTCACAAAAAGATCACCACCTGGAGTAAAGCCAGTCTGCTGCCTCTGGGACATCACTACCCTCGCCGAGGGCCCCACAGCAGCTGGCCTCCTGGGAGAGCAGTGGACAAGTTCTGAGTGGCAGCTGTGTGCTTTGGAAAGGAGCACAACAATCTAGCCTAAGAGTCCTCATTCTGGGGTGGTTCCACAACCCTTAGACAGCAGTCCGCGAACTCCACAAACAAAGGCTCCTGCATGTAGGCTCTCATGAGCTTTGCTTTGTCGTCCGCCCGGTCAAGGGTGACCATCAATTGTCTTAAGTGTGGATTAAGCAGTAGGTTTCTTAATGTTGCAGATTCACCTTATAAATTAACAAGAACAAAGCCTGTCATGTTCAAGTGGGAACCCATCAAATTGTTTCAAACGTAATAAACATAGCCCCTTAACCTACACAGCACACACATACCCCATTGCCACAGGTTCTGCATCCACAGGCATGACCAACCACAGACAGAAAAAAATTGCTCAGCACAGTAATACACACCTGTATGTCCAGCACTTTGGGAAGCTGAGGCAGGAGGGTTGTCAAGTTTGGACCCCACCTGGGCACCTTGGTGATACAGTGAAACCCTGTCTTAAAAGTGTAAAGAAGGGCTAGAGATGTTGCTCAGTGTGAAGGCCCTGGGTTCAATTCACAGTACTTCAAGAAAAACTAAAAATTTGTACCAAACTTATAAAAATTACTCGACATAACTATTTACACTGTTGTTATAAATGGCCCTCGGTGCTAACACGTTGTACCAAATACTCAATGCCTAAGCCTATGATCCAGAGCGCCAGTGAACAAGCATTAACACCTCTACGTGCCTTTATAAAAACTTTCTATTTCAGGGACCAATCAGCTATCACCCTGACTCAGCGCTGTAGAAAGAATGAAAATAATGACCACCTTTAGGAACTGCATTAATTGATTAATTACACATGTAACAACTTAGAACCACCGAATAAGCAGTGCTACAAAAATGTGGGGATTTTTCACTGTGTGTGTGTGTGTGTTTTACTGAAAAATGAACCCAGGGCCTTCCCACTGAGTACAACTCTAGCCATTCACTCATTTATGAGACAGGGCCTTAAAAAGTCACTAAGTTGCATTACTAGGATCAAATCTGTGTTCATCCTGCCTTAGCCTTCCAGACTGCTGGGATTATAGACAAGCGCCACCGAGCCCAGCAAAAAATGTACATTATAACACCACTTAAAGAACCACATCTTATGATTACCAGTGTACATCAATGGCTGGACTATAAGTCAAGCGCTGAGAGCAAGAGAATATAGGTCCCTGCCATATAGATTAGGGTGTGAGACAGATGCCCATAAAATAAAAGTACTAAGGCTAGCCAGAATAGTGTCTATTTTGAGAGAAACAATAGGTCATGAAAAGCTTAGCAAAAAAAAAAAAAAAAAAAGAACCACAGCTTGAGGAAGAGAATTTTGCTAACCTGCAAGATCAGTAGGATTCCAGGCAGAGGGAATGGTGAGCACTGTGGGCAGGCCGTCTGTTTGCAGAACTATATAGCTGAAGAAGAGTCCTGCATACTATACTCTTCAGTAAGTTTTTAAAATCTCACTTCACAACAAAAAAAAATTAGGGGTGAGGTGTAGCACAGTGGTAGGCTGCTTATCTAGCATGTACTGAGTCCCTAGAATCAATCCCCAGCACGCACAAAAAAATAATTCTCTACACAGAATAAATGTATCTCAATGTTGACAAAGAAATAAGCTCAGCACAGACTTACCTAAATTCTTTAAATTCTGCAAAGAAACTCTGTCCTCTTCCTCATCACTATTGAGAAAATCAGCTACAGAGGAATCATCATCTGAGAAATGCAGAGCACAATCAACTGCTCAGGACTCAAGCCAGCCACTCCAGATAAAAATGTACGTGCAAACACATGTGACAGGGACAGGGTAAACACATAGATAAGAGCAAAATAAAACTAACACCCTTCTCTGGACTTCACAATTATACTAACTCCCCTCTTGTGTGGAGGGAAAGAACAGAACGGGTGATTTTACTTGAACAAATGCATGGCAGTGCTACACACTTATCCCATGCTTCCCTGAGGTCTCTGGGCTTCGCCTGATCGCTAGTTCTTAGCATCCCGTCTCCCTCACCCTGGCTCCAGCCCTGTGACGGGCCGGCCAGTGACAGGTGCTCTGTAATAACCTGGCCAACAGAATGCCCTGGGCTGCAGCATGGGCAGAAATCACCAACACTGCCTGAAGCCCACCTGGAAGTCTCTCAAAGGACAGAAATGGCCCATCCCTTTGCTGTCGATCTTTAATGCCTCTTTAGTGGCACCAGAAGGGCTTCCTGCATGGCCTGTTACAGTGCACGACACACAGAGATTAAGGAAATCCCGGACAGATGGATGGACGGACAGGGTGACATCCACTGCCATGGTAAACTGAGAAGCCCCCACAGCAGTGAGGTGACTCAGACCAAAGGAAGCCTCCTGCCTGAGCCTCGCTCAGGTGAAGTGACGGCCGAACCAGGCCCAGGAGGGACACCCAAAGCTGTGTCTGGGCGAGGCGCCTGCCAGCAGGGCCCATCACAAACAGCCAGACCACAGCCAGGGCCTTTCTCCCTCTGCGTCCTGCGTGTTTCTCCCCTGAACAATGCAACCAACCAACCTCTATTTTCCTCAGGCTGTGTAGCTTTTACAGGAGGAGCTGATCTTTTTTTCTCAACAGGACGAGTTTCAAGGTTGCACTGCTCTGAAAGAGAGAAAATGTCAGGTACATGTCGCCTCTATTTCCACACCAAGGCTCCATCTGCTCACCAAACCAAGGGGGAAACATGTATAGGGTGGAGATGGATCTGGAGGGAAACAAGGGGCAGAATAAGAAAAATCATGAGCAACCTGGGTCCGCGCATCCCAAGAGCCTGTCCCCGAAGCCCTGACCTGCCTGATCAACATAAGCCTTTCACCGCACTTCAGTGGTGCATTGACTTTCACTGCACTCTCAGATAACAAATCTATGTGCAGCACGTGCCAGTGGAGACACAGACGAAAGTACCACTCCTACTTTGGCAAGGTTTAGTCACAGACAACAGCAAGACGGATAAGGTAAGAACTTGGTCTAAGCCCACCTGAGAAAACCAGGACATAAGACCAAGAGGACTCAATGGAAAGAAAAGCATTCTTGGCAGAGGAAAAGGTCTAGGATCCTGACAGAACAGAGTCAAGATACAGGAGGTCGGCGATGAACTGACCGGTACGGCACATGTGGCAGGCGTTTGGGGCACAAAAGGAGGAAGCCTTGTCTATCTACGCCCATAGCACCCTGAATGCACCCGATCTCGTCTGATGTCAGAAGCTAAGCAGAGTCAGGCCTGGTTAGTACTTGGATGGGAGACAAAAAGAGGACGCCACAGCAAAAGAATGCCAATACAGCCAGGCGTGGTGCCGCATGCCTATGATCCCAGCACTCCAGAGGCTGAAGCAGGAGGATCGCTGTGAATATAAGGCTGGCCTGGACTACATAGTGGGTTAAGTTCAAAGCCAGACTGAACTACACAGTGCAACCCTGTCTCAAACCTCCCCTCAAAAAAAAGAAGGCCACCACAGAAATCAGTCACCCCTCTCAGCAAGAGTGCCCCTGGCATTTAGGGCAGGAAGGGCTTTGGTGGTACAGGGTGCTCCCACAGGCTGCAGGGTTGACATGAGTCCCAGCACCATCAATAGGACCACCAATACCTACTCTGCCGCCACGACCACAAAAGCAGACAATGTCCCTCTCTAGGGAATGCCGATCTCCACAACAGAGAGCCACAGAGTTTTCAACAAAGGACAGAAGAGGTGGAATACCTCAAATGTGAGTTTCCAGAAAAATCCTCCTGGCAGCAGCAAGAACACAGGATAAGAAGCTCCTGATTGCCCAAGGGTTTCCTAGAGAAACCCTACAGGAGTGCAGGGTAAGAGGGCCAGATTCCCCAACCCCACTTTCTGCAAAGCAGCAAAGCAGCTCCACTTATTTCCCATCTCGGGCTATAAGGTTTCTTTTGAAAATGCTCCAGTGACACCAGGAAAAGGGGGCAGTAGTGTCGCTCTAGACCATCACTTAAAACAGAGACTAGAAGGGATAAAATCAAAGGCAAAATGACCAATTAGGAATGACAGAGCATGCAGTAACAGAAAAGGGCTTGGGGTGGGCAGACTGGAAAGATTTCAAATGCAGACTAACCAAGATTTGCAAACCATATGCTGTGAAAAGGAAAAGGGGGCTAATTAAGTAGGAGTCGGCTACAATAGCTGCCAGTGACTAAGTGCCAAGAATAGTGTCCCACTGAGCCCTTACACAGCACCTATGATATAGGCTGTTAATTCCACTTACAGATGAGAGAATTGAGTTTTCTCATAACAGAGAAACTTGGCCAAGGTCCTCATTTATTAAATGGCAGGGGCAAAATTTGCACCCAGGTGTAAACTTTTTTTTTTTTGAGACAGGTTCTTGCTATGTAGCCCAAGCTGACCTCAAGTGATCCTCCTGCCTCAGCCTTCCAAATGTTGGGATTACAGGCCTGTGCCACCATGCCTGGCTCTAGGTCTAATTCTTGTTTGATCTGTGCTCTGTGTAGAAGGAACACACAGGAGGAACCAAAGGAAAGACAGAAGCCAGGTGTGGCGTATGCCTGTGATTTGAGTGCTTGGAATGCTGAGGCAGGAGGATCACTGAGTTTAAGGCCAGTCTGGGCTACAAAGCAAGATTGAGACTGTCTGAAAAAAAACAAACAACTGCTGGGCGTGGTGGGGCACGCCTGTAATCCCAGCACTCAAGAGGTTGAGGGAGGAGGACCACTGTGAGATAGAGACCAACCTGGGCTACATATGAGTTCTAGGACAGTCTGAACTACATAGTGAAACTCTGTCCCCCCCCAAAAAAAAGGAAAGGTAAATTTTTTCATTTTAATTGTACCTAACCCCAAAATAGAGATACTTGTTTCTAGAGACCAAAACAGTTCGGAGCTGAAGATCTGGATATCAAGAAGGAAAAGGTGAGAAGGAGTGGGAGGAAGAAAACAAGAGGGAAAGGTAGAGAACAGAGTACCCACAAAAGAAATCAAAGATACAAACACAAGAATGAGTTTAGTGGGTAGGCAAAGGGAGGGAATCAGCAACACTGAGAAACATCTGACCTGGTGGTTCAGGCCTATAATCCCAACATTCTGGGAAGCTGAGTCAAGAGGATCACAAATTCAAGCCCAGTGTGGGCAAGTTAGCAACTGCAAGATATTCTGTCTCAAAATAAAAAAAAAATTTTTTTTTAATGGGCTGGGGATATAGCTCATTTGAAGCCCTGAGTTCAAACCTCAGTTAAAAAAGAAAAGAAAAATATTCTTGGGGTTTCATTTCTCTTGGGGTTGGAAATCAAATCCAGAGCCTTAGACAAGCTAGACAAGCTAGGCAAATGCTCAACTACTGAGCTACATCCTACAACCTAACTGTAATTAATATAAAAAGTGGAAAATGACCCAAATACAAAGAAGCACCAGAGAGTGCAGATTTCCTAAAAGCACGTTTTTTTTCTTAGCCTTGTCAGTTTTTTCCTTTTTATTAAAAAATTATACAATTTATGCTTATAGTAAAAAAAAAAAATCCTTTCAAACAGAAATAATTGTTCATAGAAAAATTATGTTCCTCATTCCCAAATCTCCATCTCCCTCTCGGGAGTTATTCTAGAAATGTTCTTTCAATAGGTAAGCATAAATATTACTTAAAACACACACATAGATCATGTTTCCTTTATAATGTACTTTTCCACGTGAGCACACTCAGACTCCATCCTTTTTAGACTGGCTAATTGATTTAACCAATTGCCTATGGATGGCCATTTTCATCGACCTCAATATTTTAGAGGTAACATATTTAAATACTAGCACCCTGGGAGTAGGTCAGTATTAAGAAACATTTTCTCCTAAAAGTTTATATTTTTTATTGACTGGAAATGATGAGAATTGATTCTAATGATTGCAACAGACTTCTGAAAGCAGTATGGCGGGTTTAGCAGGTGGACGTGATAACTCCAGATCTCACCATTGCTAAAGGACAGGCCGGCCTGTGGCAATTCTCAGACGATGAGCGAATCCCACATGTAGTCGTTGCAAGCCATTTCCAAGAAAAAAGGGGCCTCTATATAAAAAGGTCACTGCCATTTCAATGAAGGCAGTATGTGTCTCAGCAAATAGCAAAATAACTGGTTTCAGTCCAAACTTGTATTTCAGTGTCAATAAAATGGTCCAAAATGAAACAGAAGACCTAGCAAGTTATATACATTGAGTATCCTTTATTTGAAATGCTGGGGTCAGAATGTTTCACACTTTAGTTTTTTGGACTTCGGAATACTTGCATAGACTTTACTGGCTGAGGATCCTCGATTCAAAAATCCCAAATCTCAAATGCTTCAAATTCTAAATCTGAGCATCGTGTCATACTTAGGATACCCAACTTGTACTGGGTTAAAGATAAGACACATCAGTTTCTTAACCACACATCTTAAAGATACCGTATTCACAGATTTGTTAAATGCATACACAATCGATTATTTGTGGATGCACAGATAAATAGCACTTCTTTTTAGCTGTACCAAAAAATGTGAACTTAAGATACATAGAACTTAAGATTTTTTTTCTTAATAAGTTGAAGATCTTTGTTGTAAGCAAATCTACCTCACTTTTTCTAACAAGATATGGTTTTTTGTTTTGTTTTGTGCTAATTTTTTTTTCCTCGTTGAGTTTATTGGCACGTCTTAGGTACACAGTTACATTTATTATTGGGATCTTGTATCTTTACATGACAGGTAAGATATTATGGTATTTAAAAGAGACAAGGGCCGGGGATTTAGCTCAGTGGTTCCGTAGCCTGCCTTGCAAGCGCAAGGACCCGAGTTCAATCCCCAGTACCAAAAAACTACAAAACATTCTAGTTACCTCCAGTGTCAAAGTGAGGGGCCAGGACAGAACCCAGAGATAAAGGAACAGCTAGGATAGACTTTTGCTGCAAAAGCAGTAGATTGATTTTCTGTAACTTAGAAAACGTTTAGCCTGGTAAGGTGGCACACGCCTGTAATCTCAAATTCTTGGAAGGCTGAGGCAGGAAGATCACCATAAAATCGAGGCCAGCCTGGGCTACATAGTGAGCCAGCCTGAGCCACACAGCAACACCTTTTCTTTAAAACAACAGGAAAAAGATTTCTCGGTATTGGAGGTTCAAGCAGTCAACTATTTCTAATGAAAAAGAAATAGTGTAGCAGGTAGAAGAAAGGTTCTGATGGAAAACAACAGAGATCGTTCACAGAGGTTTCGCACACCAGAAAGGTCCGGGACATCAGGAACGAGCAAGGCTCCCGAAGAACAGGCAATGACCCGAGGCAAAAACCGGTGGGCGGGCTGTGGAGACGCAACCCGATAAAGTGCAACGGAGTCCAAAGGCGGCGCGGCCTGAGGTCCAAGTGCCCCAGACCCGGCGGGGCGTCGGGGCTGCCATGCGCGTGGTGGGGACAGGGTAAGGAGGGGATACCAGGTCCTTACCCTTGTGCTTCTTGAAGCAAGTCACGGAGCAGCTGTAACAGCAGAAAGCACAGGGTCCGTTAGCCCATTAGGCCCTAGGGCCCCTCCCGCAACCCCCACCCCGGGCTCCACCCCGGCCAGACCCTCGCGCTCCCCACACCCATATCCCCCTACCCCGCCTCACTAGGGAACGCGGCAGGCCGGGCAGCGGTACTTGGGCTTCTTCAAGCAGATCACGCAGACCACCGTGCTACAGCCGAGCGACGCCATGGTCCCACTACACCGCTGGCTCCAAACGCTGCGCCGTCCCCCGCTCGCTGCCGCGTCTGACGCACGCGTTTTTCCTCCCGCTTCCGGAATCACGACCAATCAGCGCTAGTTATTCACAGGCAATCAAAAGCAATAGATTGATCCTGTTCACTGTTCCAGGCCACATAAGTAGAGTGTCGATATACTCGATGCGCACCTCAGGTTTTTCTCTAAGTCACGTGTGCGGCGAAGAATTTGTTCTGTAGTACTGGCCCTGGCCCTTGCCACTTTCCAGATTTGTTGCCTTGCAAGTAAAAAGAATGCATGAGACTAAATCTCCTTTACTTTCCGGCTCAGACTTTCTAATCTTGCACTAATGTTGGGTTCTCCTGCCCTTCTCAACTAGCAAAGGGGGAGTTCCAAACTACAATTGGTTGGATTATGCGGCTTGAAGGAACCTGTCCCTCCTTCCCAGCCTGGGTCACTTTTCCTAGAAGAAAACATGATGTATGGAGGCGTGGCCACCGGCAAATGTTTACTGAGTTCCAGCTGAGTCCTGCATGGCCCAGAGGCCTCCGACCAGTGAGGTTCAGAAGATGTTCTGTGCTCCCCAACAGTTTAACACCTAGGTTGAAGGAAGAATGAAGGAAGGAGAAGAAAAGACTCGTTCTTAGGCTCCTGCCAGTGCTAGCCTTCTCTGGAAGGACCTGAAGAGTGGGTGTTACTTAAATACCGCCTCCAGGTTCCTCTTTCCCAGCCCTAATGGGATAGACAGACCAGAGTAGGTGAATGACCTCTGTCCCAAACGTGGGGATCCTGAGCAGATGAGTCTGAATATATGGGATATGATGGACTTTTCATGCCCTCATGACTTGTAGACAGGCTCCAAGATTGAACCGGAAATCAAAACCAGAAACGAGACTAGGACTCTGAAACGCTGACTTCCAAGCCAGCACATCTCCCACAACTCACCAATAAATAACTCTCGACACTAAATATATTACTTCTCCTAGGATTAATTATTGTTGTTGTTGTTAGTTTTTGTTTTTCTTTTTGTTTTGACACAGGGTCTTGCTATGTAGTCCAGGCTGGCCTTGAAGTCACAATCCTCCTGCCTCTATCTCCTTAAAATTAAGATTATAAGTAGCCCCTATCACACCCAGCTACTCTATTTTCTTTTAAATTTTGTTTTGTTTTAGCCCTACTGTGGATTTTCCGAGGGCCTTGCACAAGCTTGGCATACACTCTACTACTATGCTACATCCCAGCCCTTTACAATTTTTTTTTTAAGGTAATGTCTTGCTCAGTTGCCCAAGCTGGCCTCAAACTTCTTATCCTCCTACTTTTGCCTCCTGAGTACTTGGGATTAAAAGCATGCACCACCATGCCTGACTAGAGTGATTGTTTCTTTGTTTGCTGTACTGGGGATTGAACCCAGGGCCTTTCCATTGAGCTACATCCCAGCCACCTGCCTTTTTTTTTTTTTTTTTTTTTTTGCCAATTTTAAATAGTTTTATTGAAGACATTGCATTTCCATTTACAATACAGTGCTCATAAAGGGCAATGTTATCTTTTCCCTGCGCACATGCTCCATATTCAAGTATTGAGAAAGCCCAGTACTTTACTATAGCAGTTAAACTTTGACAACTGCCACAGGATTTGCTACAAATTTAGGTCCTTCAATATGCCACCTGCCTTTCTGAGACAGGGTCTTGATAAGTCACTAAGTTGCCCAGACAGACCTGGAATTTGTCATTCTCCTGCCTAAGCCTCCCAGAGTATTGTAATTACGGGCATGTGCTACCACATGCAGATATGTCATGGATTTTGGAGCCTAGTTGAAAAGCCCCGGGCATAGCTCACCCTAACCTTGGCTCCCACCTTACCTCTGCTTGGCCCTCTCAAGACTTAAGTCACCCTCACCTCCTTCTGTGTTGACTGTTCAGCCCCCGGATGATCCCTTCGATAAGGGAATCTGAGGACTGTCTCTGTATGCAAGGGTAGATCTGCTACAACCTAGGCAGTGCCTGGAGTTTTACCTCAAATCCCTCCCTGGCTGTGTGACTGAAAGGGGTCAGTTAGTCCCTCTCAGCTCCCTCATGTATTAGAAAGGATATTCAGGGGTCGGGGATTTAGCTCAGCAGTGCCAACACCTGCCTTGCAAGCACAAGGTCCCAAACACCACCACCCCCCAAAAAAAAAGAAAAAGAAAGAGAATATTCAAGTCTATGTGAGCTGCTGTAAGGGAAAGAGACCATTTTCTTTTTAAGTTTTGTAGTTTAAAATGCTACAAGGCTGCCAGGAGTGATGGCACGTGCCTGTAATCCCAGCACTCAGGAGGCTGAGGCAGGAGAATCGCTGTGAGTTGGAGATCAGCCTGGGCTACAAAGTGAATTCCAGGTCAGTCTTAACTACATAGTGAAACCCTGTCTCAAAAAAACAAAAACAAGGAAATGCTATGAAGGGTTATTTCTGTAATACCTGGAAAGACTCTAATTCTCCTGGATCTCCCATCCCACGAAAGAAGGTTCCAAGCCCCAGGCCACGAGAGGCCCCAAAGCTCAGACAGGTTCAGAACGGTTTTTTCATCTGCCTCTGTAGATTGTGTTCAACTGGGAAGTGAACCATGGTCCAGGGGAGAGTGAGTGACATCCTCACTTTGGTGTCTTGGGCCACAGCCCGGACGCTATCCAGCCCCAGATGCTGGCCCAGCACGACCCTGCCGGTCACCTACCCTTCCCTGCCTCCAGGCTCCACCCAGGATCCACTCAGAATCCAAGATGAGTCCACACTGACCCAATATTCCCGCAGCCTTCTTCAGATTCCTCGAGGGTTGCACCACAGCTGGCTCGAACCTGAGGCATCCCAGGAGCCCCATGCTTATCTGGGAAAGCCAATGACTTGTCTAGAACCCCACTTGAATCCTGTGCCCTCTGTGGCACCGGTAGAAATTCTCCCACTATGGAGGACGTGGCCACTGCCCGCTCCAGATTTGTTGTCTGACTTGTGTGCAAAGGCAGAGGCCAGGGAGAGTTCCCTTCCCTCTATTTCCAGAGACACGGACAACCACCTTGACTCCCTACCTAGCACCCCACAGGTGACGCTCTCAGCGAAAGAGAGACAGTTCCTGAAATCCCTCCCCCGCACACTCTGTGGTG